TAAGGCATTTTTTGGCAATTTACTCTACAAGTTACAGTTGGAAGAGTATTTAATTAGAAGTAAGAAACGCAGATCATGCATAGCTGAGTTTTGTGTAGATGTTGTGACTCAACCTATCTGCATAGTTGCCGAAATATAATAATTTTTAATTATATCTTCATGTTATTACTCTGTGGGGAAATACTTAAAAATAGCAATTTAAGTTCATCGGGTCGTGAAAATGTGTATTGTGTTAATTAATTATGATGAAATGAGATGTTGTATGTCAATGACATATTGATCATAGAGGCGAATTGCGAATTAATCAAATCTCATTTCATTAGTAGTTATGTGTAATATATTTAATCGATTTGTGTATGAAGGGATTGCAAACCAGAATCTAGTAAATGTTTGTACATTTTTGAGACATTGAATGTGACCATTTTTTAATTACTTGTTCTGAACAGAAGCTCCGAATATAAAAATACTAGGCTTACTACTAGTGCAAAGAATTTTTTTAAGAACTTCATTATCATTATACTTTACAACACCTCTAGTATCCGGTACCTCTGATCTTAGATTTAGTAACTTTAATATGTTCACCCAAATCAATCCAATAATTGATATTAATTCCAAAATATAATGATACACAAGACAAATCACTTACAGTAATCCAGTAATCAAATGTACAGCAGCTTCTCTGCTTTATACGACCTACAACTGTGTGTAACCACATAAGTTATCAGAATATTCCATTTTATTATTTGGTTGATATCATTCTGAAGCGCCACATTGTTCATAATAGACTTGTCAACGAGACCATGTTGCAAGTCCAGACCATTTGATGGGTACAGAAGGCAATTTCCGCCAACAATGCACAAACATAAAATGAATAACGAACATTCAAAAACAATTTAAGGGAATTTTACAAACGATCAAGGTACTTTCACAAATAAGTTATTTCACAAACAAATAACGTACTTTCGTAAACGATCGTTTTTCGCAACTTACACCTTTTATTTACTTATTACCTATTATTATTATTATTATTATTATTATTATTATTATTATTATTATTATTAGCTATCAAAAACCAGTCACCAAACACTTTCCATTTCATAAAAATAATTATCAAACAAAAAAGATATACTTAACTTTTCTTACTGCATAACCATTCTTATTTTCAAATTCTCAGTCCAACTTTGGATTTTTACATTAAAAGACTTTTGTTTATTTATATATATCTCATAATACACCATTTTTTTTCAAATTTATACAGAGAATTTCTCTTTAAAGAAAGCTACGGTATTTGTTTTTCTAAATAAAAATGTTATTCAATCAACTTCTTATAGGGAAAATATCAAGCACCTGACTACAACTTACAACTTATTGGGTACGATGTGGGTAAGTTTGTTCGTTTGTGAAAGTTCCGTACGTTTTTGATTGTGAATGTTTCTAGTTCGTTTGTGAAACTACGGAGTTCGTTTGTAAAAGTACGTTGTACTGTTTGTCAAAAAGATGGCTGATAGTTTCAAACGTTGAGGTAATTCCTGCTGATTTACTATTGTTCATTTTCATATCTCTATATATGAACAATTTGTATATAACCTATGAAAAGTTACAACAAATTACACTGAGATTAGTATTAGTAGGGTCACCCTCAAGATGTTTACAAAATCGTCTCTTTGCAAACTATTGTAGATAAAGAAATAGTGATCAAGAGATAAACGTTTAAGTGTACCCAACCAAGGGTTATGTGTTACCTTTTTGGCTAGACGATTACCAACATAGAACAGACGGCTTTAGGGTTTAGTTTTAGGTGCCATTAATAGCAGGGAGATTCCCAACCTTAAGAGTACCGTACGGTGACGAATACGTCATATTCATTATCTTCCCCCCCCCCCCACCACCTTGGGAGGTTAAAAAAAAAGAAAAAAAAGAAAGAAAAAGAAAAAAAATGATAGTCCACAACGCCTCAAATGTTATTTTCGGGCGTCTAGAACACAACAATTTCGCGGGGGCATGCCCACGGACCCCATGGGACATTCTTGTATCGATCGGCCCAAATTTCGGCCCTCTTTCGCCCCCCCCCACCTTTTGGACATCTCTGGATCCGCCAATGGTAACTGCTGAAATACGGGATATCTGCTTACAGAGTTCGTTCTTTTCGTGATCTTGAAGAACTTGTCGACGTTTTGATAGCAGTCTCGATTGTATTTATATACTGGCTTGAAGTTATATACAGAGATGTCAGACGTATGTTGAAAATAACTGAGCCAAGTACACATCTTTGTGGGAGACCATTTATTCTTTAGCCTACGTGTTCTGCTACAGCATCAATGTTTCAAAAATGAATGAGAAGATTGTTTACAAGCTACACACAGGATCAACAATTACCAAGATATAAAAAGAAGTACGCCAAAGTGATGAAAACGGTGAATATTAAATATTGAGGTTTGAAAGAAATAGGTGATTTACAACGGTGATAATAATTGGTATAGCAGGTATATTATTACTCTTATTCACTTACTGAGTTCACAGTGCGTTCCTTCCCAACCAGAGGTGCATTGGCATGTATATTGGTTGATGTCATCGATACATGCTCCGCCATTTTGACATGGTGAAGACGAACATTCGTCTATATCTACAGTAAAAACAATTTTATAATTGATGATCATGAATAAATTATTTCAAGAAAGCCATTAAATGTACGTACTGCTTGTAATGTTTCTCTACTAGTGGTAGAGGGTGGCCCACAATATTTGGAATTGTCAACTAGCAAACCAGTCATTATTTGATGAAGATCGGTTGATATAACGGATCGAAACGTCATAAACAGCACGTATATTTAATGGTTTGCTTACAAGAACTTTTCCATTTTCGTACATCATTTAGCTCATGACAAACAATACATCTTTAATGTTATCTATATTAGTAATATTCTATATTAATAATATTATCATTTTTAAATCGCAGACCAATATCTATTGTAAACTGATCAGAGGCGCTATATACACAAAATACATTTCCTTAAACAATAATTCATTGAACAATAACAATCTAAAAATAAATAGGCATAATTATTATACAAAATATTTTAAGCAAAACTCTCAAAAAGGCCCCACAAGGCTATCAGTACCCTAATGTACAATAATCGGTCAATATTTTTTAAGCACGATAAGGAGTAAAAAAAAAACAACCTATACCTTAGAAAGACCTGAATTTATTAACTTTATCATACTTGTAAATGAAAGACTTTAAGAGGTAATTTGTTAACAAAAATAGTTAAAAAGTTTATTATTTTTAATGTGTATACAAATTGAAGACCAGCTCCCGAATGTTGTAAGACAAATAATTTGATAATCAAAAAGTTTCATCTGGTTTTGCATTGATGTGTCTAAAATATTTTTAAATAAATAAACCAATACGTTGATGTTGACTTACGCAAGAATAATTTGCTATTCTTTATCCATTACCTACAGAACGGTACACCGAGCAAACAAACTACTAAAAACTGACGCACATTTTAAAGATATTTTTGTCGATTGGTGCATTACTGTAAAATTATATTTTAGATAAGGAGAAAGGAAATCGTTATTATAAGGGACTTATAATGATGCTACAAAATTTTAAAGATTCAATTATCAGACTGATCAAATAGGCCCTAGATCGAAAAGCTGAGTCACAAACAGTTACTGTTTTTGTCTTATGTGACGGAGAAAGCGTTTCGTGAATACGACTAAAGCCTGACAGACACTTTGCCGACCGTCTTTGGCCAACGGCGACTGAAGCGGGGGCCAGCAGGCCATGCCCTTCCACTTTTCTACTGCGGGAATGCCTCCATACACCTGTGTGACTGGTCTTGACAGGTCTCAGCGTCATGAGTGACACAATGAACGCTATACAAATACAATTTCATATTTTTACCATATATTTTTTTTATTTTCAAATGAATAACAAGTTCCCTTTTTGAGTTGATCAACGAGTGTGTATGGATTAACGTCTGTAAAGCACGTTTCCTCAAAAACGTATTCTCTAGCATACAACAAAAAATAAGAATCGCCCACTTTGCGTGAACTCTGTGTTTATGGCTGCAGCTAGGGAGCGGAGGTATGTGAAGTGACGCCCTAGTTTTCTGTATGTTAACCGAGAATATGGATTGTAACACATTTGTTTATATTAAACCATCAAACTACCATAATGTAACCACAAAAATATTTTTCAAAAATAAAATAAAAATAAATTACCCTTTTAGAAGCATGTATTCCTCATTTCAGAGGTGGCGCCAGCGGGGGACACCCACCCTGTCGGGGAGAAAAACAACAATTCGTTGGGGAGAAAAAAAAATTCTATGTATTTTCTACATATTAGTAGACTCTAAAATCGATTAAATAAGCCTTTGAAACTCCTAACTTGTCAACATTTTCCCATAGGACCACTTTCGGAACATATTAGGCGACGATCGACCACGCCCACTTTGCTCTCGTCGGTGTAGTCTGCTCCCTCGTTGGGGATTCGGTCCCCCGTAGGGGACCTCAGATCCCTCATCGGGCAAATCTAGGCGCCACCCCTGCCTCATTGAGCTATTAATTGTGTTCACTTTTCATCAAGAATATTCTCATAATGTTTGGAATAATTTATTGTGTTCGTGGAAGAAATCGTGACTTCGAATTTTCCATTTCAACAATTATGAAGTCATATTAGCAATAGTTTGAGGCTTATAAAATAACTAATATAATTCACTAAAATTCGTCAAATATTAAACGGGCCCTTGGCTGCCACTTGGCCTCCAGTGGTGCTCGCTTCACCTCTTCGTCGGGCAGATCGTGCACCATCACTCAATTAATAATACATAGCCACCCCTCCCACACACATCCTCCCTCCACCACACACCCTTCCTCCACCACACACCCTTCCTTCACTTTACTGCAATTTTATTTGCAAATGATAATATGTCTATAGATAAATAGCATTTATCATCTAAACACAATATTGTAATGGACAGTCAAAAAATTGAACAAATATGTCCATGGTCAAACTATAATTGGTCAATAATGCGATCAACCCCCATTAAACAATATTGATCAGAGGATATAGACAAGGTTCACCAAGGAGAAGGAAAATAATGTGTGCTTTCTGATGTTAATATTATATTTAAGTTAATTCTTTTGTTTCTAATTATTTCTGGAAGAAATTGACTCAATACAAATGATTGATCTACAATATACGGCACAGTTGCTATGCCTAAACTTTTCTAATTGAACTCAAAGACATGCTACATTTCATATATATTTGCAATATCTAATACACGTATTAAGCCCGATGATAATTGTTTATTACTATTTGTATATATAGTATTGTTTTTTAATCATTTACCATTTTGTGTTGTATTGACACTTATGGTCTAAAGCCAAACAGTTAAATTTTCACCTTTTTTTTTTTCCTTTTTAATTATGCCTGGAATTTCAATAGTTTGTTTTATTTGATAAATAAATCAACTCTTGGCCTCTGTGAGCCTTGTATAACGGCTTGTAGTCTACAATTTTCGGAAAATAGGAAGAAGTTTCAACCAATTCAAAACCTTGTTTGCGCTGCACAGTAACATTTTCTGAACCTTTTGAATGAATGAATATTACGTTGACTTCGACTTCTCAAGTATTGTACAATTAAGTGACTTATTGTAATTTTTCTCCCGAAATCATCATTAAAAGATAGCCATTACTATGGAATCATATGTACAAGGGTTATATAATCCTAGTATAGATGCCGCCATGCATATTATATAATATACTAGATTACAAGTGGGGTAGATCAACCCCCAGTAAACAATAATTGATCAGTAGATAGACCAGGCGAAGGCTAAGGGTGTAGGTGAAGTGAAAATAATGTGTGTTGCTTTGTGGTTCATTTTTATCAAATTATTTTCTGAAATTGACTAACTCAATACAATTGATCGATCCATTATACTGGACAGTTACTAGGTATATGCCTAAATAATGTATCCAACTGAACACAAAGATATAGCCTAAGTATAAAGATGCTACATCACATATATTTTTTGCAACATCCTAATAACTTTGTCAGGCCTTATGATAATTTTTTCATTGCTACTTTGTATTTATAAGTCAGTCGTGACGTCATCTTTTTCACTTGCACATAATTTCCTATTACCGAGCGGCACTAATTCGATATAGTGAAAAAGTGTTTAAAAAAAAAAGATTTTAAAAAATTGTTATGATTTTCTGTTAACCCATTGGAATTTTACCAACCCTGTTTTGTAGATTTATTTTTGTACTTGTCAATTTACATTGTGTTTTGGTTATTTAAATGTGCATCACATGAACAAAATATACTTTAATTATTTGTAGTTTAATATATTTATGGTGTTTTTTGTTGAGTTTTTTTTCTATTTTTTTTATTTGGATGCACTGAATACTCAGTGCCACTGTATCAAAAGTGAGTTGAATTGCAACTTGTTGTTTAACGGAAACGACATTTATGATCTTTGACCCGTTGGTCAAAATGTTGCATTAGAGCAAAAATAGAAACATGTATGTTCAAATCAAGTTGATAATAAAAGTCTCTACTATTTTCCGTATGTATAAATTTTATCTTTAGTAGGTGGCCATTTTGACATTAAAATAGCGGCTATAATTGGAGTCAGAAACTTGGCACACAACTTTTTTTTATCTACAAACATCAATGATATTAAGTTTTATGTTTTAATAATATCATGCACAACTGGGTCCCTTAGCTGCTCTATTAACAGCTTTGTTTGCGTTACAGATACTGGCACATTATATTAAATTAATTCGAAATAAAATTTTTGACTTATGAACAACATTATTGGTTAATTTTATTTATTCATTTATTTATTTATTTATTTGGATATACACCTTCAGATGGGTGGCACACGTTTACAGTTAATGGTGCATTTTTATAATCAAAAATATAATAAGGGAACAAAGAAAAAAAATAAAGCAATAGAACATAAATCTCTGAAGTCTACCTACAAACCAACAAACTAAAACAAAGAAGCACATCAAGTTAATTCAATTGTAATAATAATACTAATAATAAATGTAATTATAATTCCCATCCATCACAAAATTTCCACATATAAGCGCATAATCAATAAACATTTTAAAACTACAAGTTAAAATGTTTAAAAGTTAAATTTATCATAAATACACAATTCACAGTAATATATTATAACCAAGATTACGTTTTTACTTATTTTTATCGAACTGCTTGTGCCAACATTGTAGATAAAATAATTGGCTCTTTATTTAAAATTTAAGAATTTCATCTGCAAAGGTCTTTCTATTATTATAGTTAATGACGTAGCAATATTCAATGTAGGCCCCTATGTCTTAAAGCATGATTGTGTACGGTATTATTTATTGGCCTACTGGGCTTCTAGACTGAATTAGCATTACATTACAGCATCTCGAAAGGCCACCAAAGGCGGTCATTTTGCGAGTTTTTTTAATTGTCACAGACACCGATGCAGGCCTAATATATTTTAGGCCCTAATACTTTTCATGAGCCAAGATCGACTGTAGAAATATTGCACTCTGGACCAACGGCTTAAACTTCTCATCTGAAAGCTATAGGACGGGTTATTTCTTATACTTGCATTTTATCCCGCTAGCTGAAACACAAGGATCTCCGCAGTTCAGCGCACATAAAGTAGCTATCGTTAGTTTAACCAACTAAGCTATGCTGCTCTCTAAAACCTGAATATAGTACCGGTATGATACCACATCGATGTTCTAGCCTACATTTGAGGTAAATATAGGCTACTTAACCAAACTTACTTATTTCGCAATATGTTCCCGTAATTCCTGCAATACATGCACAAGTGTACCTTAAGTGATCGTCCGTACATGTTCCGTCGTGTTGACAAGGGGTGGAGCTGCACTCATCAATATCTGTATAATAACACAATACTCATGATAATGAGATAGGCCCTACTAATAACAATAATGGTAATAATAATAATAATAATAATAATAATAATAATAATAATAATAATAACAGTAACAATAATAATAACAGTAACAATAATAATATTGATAATAATAATTCAATTCAATATATCAATAATAGTAAATAATATTAATTACTAATTACTAATTATAATTAACTAATGTTAATTATTATGATCAATTATAATTAATTATTATTATGATTAATTATAATTAATTGTTATTAATTATAATTAATTACTAATTATAGTAATAATATAAACAAAATTAAAAATAGGCCTATACTTACTACGACCAAACAAAAATTATAATACCAAATTTAACACCACAATCTCAGCAATTATAATGATAACAAAACACATTAATAATATTAGCAAAAACAACAAATATGATAACTACAACAAAGCATTGAAGATAGTATATACTGTCATGTGAGCAATCCCGTAATCATTCATATATGTCAGATCACTGAATGAAGCTGACCTGTATGGCGTGTCAAATGGGTCTTTTAATTATCATTTTGGATATTATCCATAACTGTTTATTGATATCCAAATATAATGATTAAATTCCCCTTTGGCACCCCAAAAATTCGCTTAATCCAAGACTCTGAATGAAATGTACCGTAACACTATAAAATCCTTTATACTAATATTCATAATATTATTAATACAGTTATAATAATAACAGTAAGTAAAATAGCAACAGCAACAAAATTTAATAATAATAATAATAATAATAATAATAATAATAATAATAATAATAACAAAAAACAATAATAATAATAATTAAAAAATATAAGACAACTTATGATAATAACTGGACCGTAAATAATGCTTACAAAGAGTCGATTACGATTGATCGAAGTGAAAATATGTCATCCTCATTAAATCATTCCATTGGAAAAGGTGATACATATATTGTTAGTGTATTATGTAATAACAAGAGTGTAGCCATCGATCAATGAGCGGAATTAGAAACAATTGAACCGAAACAAATTTATTAATTTTCTTTGTGTTTACTGGGAAGAATTTGCAGTGTTGGGATAAATTAATCGAAGTGAAAATATATGTCATCGTCATTAAATCACTCCATTGGAAAAGGTAATACAGATATTGTTAGTGTATTATGTAATAACAAGAGTGTGCCATTCAATGAGCGGAATTAGAAACAATACAGAAACAATTGAACCGAAACAAATTTATTAATTTTTTTTTGTGTTTACTGGGAAGAATTTGCGGTGTTATGATATATAGAACGGATGTTAACGTAAGCATAATTAATATTACTGTATTAGGTGGGATTTCTATTTCATAACATTTTATTAGATGAACCGTCTACCTGCAGAAAGTGTCATCATCATCATTATCATTGTCATTATTATTATTATTATTATTATTATTATTATTATTATTATTTTATTGTTATTTTATTATTATTATTATTTTATTATTATTATTATTAGTAGTGACCAATAATTAAAAATTTAATAACGGTTTAACTATTTAATGTTTTATTATTTGAATTATTATTATTAGTTCAGCACCACAAACAGTATGTATAAGTTCTACTGTTTTCTCTACTCTCTCCGTTCCACGCGCCTCAGGATATTGGTTAAGTAACAATTATTGTTGTGTCTTCTTAATAATGTGACCATTATAAGTATTTTTTTTATAATAATAATAATAATAATAATAATAATAATAATAATAATAATAATAATAATAATAACAATATTCATAATATAATAATATTAATAATAATAATAATAATAATAATAATAATAATAATAATAATAATAATAATAATAATAATAATAATAATAATAATATTAGCATGACTATCTTACGTTCACAGACAGTTCCATGGTAACCGGTTGTACATGAACAAGTATAAGAAGCGATACCGTCAGTACAAGCTCCGCCATTTTGGCAAGGAGAGTAGTAGCTGCAGTCGTCGATATCTGTATAGAAACCATGAACATTGAATTGACTATCAGCCTATTAAATGCCCATATATAGTCGTCTTCTTTATTATCCAAAACAAAATACATACATATTTTTTACAATTATCATTAAAACAAATATACAGGTAATATATAATTTTAGATAAAACGAGGTGAAAGAGCAACTACATGCCTATCGGGTTCGTCATCCTATAAAAACAGATTAACACGTAGGCCCTAAGTCATGATGCGCCTATTATATCTGACGTCATCATTACCATATTTAGGCATGTTCGTGTTTTTGACACTTAAGACACTGACGGGGTGTTTGACTAAATATTCGGGATCGGTTATTAAGATATATATTTTTGAATATATAAGAGCTGGAAGAAAATTGATGTTACGGCCCTTTTTCCCCCAGTTTTTAAATATTTAAAAATATGTTAGGCAAATAGCACCAACAATTGCTATATTTAAAGGAAAATTTAATAAAATTATTTTTTATTATACAGCAATGTAATGATGTAATTAACATGGTCTTGTTAGGAATTTATTAGAAGACTGCAACGAATTTTTTTTTCCTGTTTATTTTGTTGTTTAATTGTTTAAATAAGGAAGCAGATATTTAACATTTATGTTACATTTAGGGTGTCATGATTTATCTTGTTTATTTACTTATATATTATTCTATTATTTTATTAACTCATTATTTTAAAGGATGGGATCTTAAAAACCTTAATCAGTTTAATTGCCCCTCCCTCCACACACTCTTCTTATAAAACAAATTTAGTCTTGAATATTTATTGTATTGTTGATTGTTAAAATGTACTACATTTCGTGTGGAAATAAATATATTTATAGTTTGAAAAAAAACAAACATTTGAATCTTCGGGATAGTAAAATAGAAGTATTATTGGTACTTTAAATATAGTTAAGCAACATGTAGAATGCATCAAAATTATTTCAAACCTACCACAAACGACGCCAGCATCTTCTGAATGTCCACAATTATGTGCTCCCCATCCCGGGTTAGAACAATGCCAAATATACGATTCACTACCTCCACAACCAAGGTCGTCAAGCCAGATATTACCACCTCCAGCCCCAAAAGATTGTGTTCGGACAGCATCAGGATAGCCTATAGAACGACAAACAACTCGCGCTTCCTCTATACCAAAACCATCATCGCATACAGTACCCCAAGAATAGTGGTTTTCGCAAGTTCCCCAAAAGTTGCATGATGTTGTGTATAATTCTATTTCAACCCTTCCTTCCCACGAATAGCTTCCGCCACTAATCCGTGTGCTCCCTGAAATCACATAGTGATTACATAAAATTATTGACTACATAATAGAATAAAAATAAGAAAAGAAATATAATAAATAAAATTTGTAATTAAGGGACAGTAAATGTTATTTTATAGCATTGGGATCACAAGTGATCAAGTGATTTAACTTTAATTTGTAATGACTTTACTTGAAACAAACAAAGACAAGAAAAAAATAATAATGTTATATATAAAAAAAAAACCACATTAATAATGATAATAAAAAATAATAATAAGGTTACAAATATACCTGTTAAGTGCATAATTGACATGTTTTAAAACATTCTAGATTATGGTTAACATGGTGTAAGGTGCTACTCTGTTAATAATGTTTTTTTTTTAACAGACAGCAGGTCTTCTAAGGTTACCTTAGATATAATGCGTCTCACATACACATAGAGCCAAGATATTGTCTTGGACTTGCACCCTGTATGCCCTAACCTTACGGTTACCATATATATAATTGTCATTACATGCTGCCATTCTAATATTTTATTTCATGCTAATCATTCATTTACAATCATTCCAATGCGTATTTTTTGGTGAAAATGTAGGCATTCCTCCCCTGGGTTTATAGCCAAGCCTAACTCAAGCCTATGGTTTCATCGACACACCTGCTTAGTTTATTTATTTTATATATACTTATTTTATGTACAAGAATATTATATCTGAAATAAAAGTTGATTGATTGATTTTTACAGTTTCTATCTGTACATTAATTCCTATCTCTTCTGAAACCGCTGGCAATGCACAACATAAGTACAATATAAAATGCATCAAGACGTAAGCCAACTTATAAAAGGCATATTATAACTACAAAATATAAAATACGGAATTAACCAAACGTGTACAGTGTCACCAAGTTCGGCAAGCGGGATATTGCCGCTTCCAGCCCCAAAGCATTGTGTTAGACAACATCAGGAGATCCTAAAGATCGACAAGTAACTTATCGCATACAGTACAGTGGTTGTAACATTATGTTTTTATTACATTCCTTAAAATACCATATTTAAAAAAAAAGTTTAGATTTAACTTACGTGAATTGACAAACTCAAAACCTAATGCGAACACGATATATACCGAGTAAAGACCAAGCATGTCAATTTTTTTTTTATCAAATAGAGATATGATATGTCTTCTTGTCTTTAAATATACACAGAATGTAAAAAAGAATTATAAACTGACTAGCACTGTGCAACGTTAAATTTCGCCTGAGTAAACTTCTTGTGCCAATCTAATTGGTGAATGCGTTCACCCAAAAATGAATTACGATATTGATAATCAATGCACTGGACATGACTTCCAAATGCTTGGCGTATTGAAGAGGTAAAATAAAACGAAGATATGTGGTAGCAATGGTACACAAGTCGTCAATATGATGAGAAAGGTTAGCCAATGAGCAACCGAAACGTAACAGGAAGTACGTGGTTTTGTTTCAAATAAGAAATATGTGGGCAAAAAAACAAAATGGTTTAGCCAGGTAAAAGTAGATTCGTTGGAAGTTCGAAGAAGATATATAAATATAAATATATATATATATATATATATATATATATATATAAACAAATAGATAAATAATAACAGTTTTGGAATAGGAACGTTTTGTAATAATCGTATTTACCATAGCTTATCTACGAAAATTTATTTCAGTTGTATGGAAAATTCTGGCGGGATTCGAACCTACAACCTCTCGTTATCTTTGAATATTCATATTATTATTACAAAAACGTGCTACAGTGCTAAAATAGTTAAAAGTAAGCTGGATTTTTAAATTATCGTGAGATTGATATTAGTAAACAAAATGATTAGAAACTTCTTACTGCCTAACATGTATAAATAATATTACACCTTCCCGCTTGTGTAAAATATTCGACGAGATATGCCTAGCCTACTCACTTAATGTTATTCCAACAATTTATAATAATATTCCTAAGCCATTTAATATTGCTTGTCATTCTGCATACATATGTTTAAAAAATAATATACAAAAATATACTGAAAATGACAAAAAAAAATCAACACAAATATGATTTTTAAATTAAATTGCTAATTTTTTAGTAACATACATATTTTTAACTTTACATAGATATTATTAGATTGGCTTACCCTGATTTTTATACGCGATAATGACAAAAATAATATAAAAACACTTCCAGTGACTGAAAGTGTTTCTATTATTTCTTGATGTAAAGTTATGCGTAAACCGTTAAATAAATTGAAAATATTTGTTTCTGTACTTCCAAATGAGCAAGTTAATTTAAAAATTGAGAGCAACTCACACATAGTAGAGCTTTGTTAAAGCTACTACTATGGCTTGTAGGTAGAATATAGTCATAGTAAACATTATTTTAATTAGTTTTGCTGTGTAGTACCTTAAAGACAACATATACATTATAAGTAAGTAAATCATCCGTTTGTAGGAAAAATTTAAAACTGGTATTTCTATATTTAGCATAAATTCCTCTTTACAACAGAGTTTATCTTATAGAAAGTGGTTGAGTATTAGCAATGTTATTAATACTGAATTTATTGGATATCACCCATGTAGGTTTTGAGAAAACAGTTTCCAAAGATCAGTAGTTTATTAGCAATATTTGTATTTTTAAATAATTATGATATACTTTTCAGTTGGATTTATTGTTTGATATTTTGCAGAAATTTTGATTTTTGACTCTCAAACGTTTCGAGTGCTTGTGCAAAATGACAAATTGTGACACACGGCGGGTTTTGTCAGAGCCAATCACAGTTGCAGTGCTAAAATAGGAACATAGGATTACATATTCGTACCAAGCAATAAATCAGTATTAAAAAAAGTGTCTGGAAAGGAAATTCATAGTACAGCATAATTATAGAGTTTATTAGGATAAAGATATATTTTTATGCTTTTTAGATTAACGTTTCTAAGTACAAGTCTCCCTTCAATTGGAGACCCCTCCAATTGAAGATCTACACTTACAATTAAAGACCACTTTTCTGTGATCCCCAATTAACAAATGTCTTTTATCTTTATTATACTAATTACAGACTAAAGCTGCTAAAGACCATGGAAACCCCGGTCCCTAAAGTTGTCTTTAATTGGCGAAGGGGGAAAATTTTAAACTCTTACGTACACAAAATTTGTTAGACATGTATTTAAATGTCAGTCAACAATATAAAAAGCTATTACAATTTTTTAAATAGTAATAATAGGTTGAAACGCATGAACATTATTAACGCTCTAGAAACAAATAACAGTAAAACATTCTATATGAATCTGAAATAGAAATATAAAAAATTATGTCAAATTGGTATTATTCAATGTTACAATCACTTTAAAAAATGTTCATCAACATGATTATTACCCTGGTAGTATGAATTTTGAATTTTGGCTAAATGCACCTTAATTTTTTTGTGGATATTTTAAACATTCTTTTTAACACAATATTATACTTGGGTAATCTTCCAAAACAATGGGCAACAAGCTTAATCGTACTTATATTCATAAAAGCGATATGAATAAACCATAAATCTACCAAGGTATTAGCTAATACCGATTTTAAGCAAAATCTATTTGCATATACTCAATTCAAAGCTAACCACATTTATAGAAAATAATAACGTGTTACATGAGTAACAGGCAGGGTTTCGTAAAGAATGTCTTATTACAGATAATATTTTCATTCTAGACACTATTATGTCTAAATACTTAAATACAAAACATGGAAGAGTTTTTTGTTTGTTTTGTTAACCTTAAACGTGCTTTAGATTTTGTTAACCATAAACTTTTATTACGTAAATTAAAATAGATTAGCATTTCAGGTAGAATGCTTTTTAATGGAAATCTTCACACCAAAATTTAACAGTTTATGTTAAAATTAGAAAAAAAAAAAAAACAATGATTCCTCCATGACTGCACGATTGGAGTTCAACAGGGGTCTCCACTTTCATCCTTCCTTTTCAATGTTTACATTAACAATTTTTGCCTATTACTGAGTCAAGTACATGAAAAGGTTCAAATAGGGGATTGCTATATCAATCATCTCCTTTACGCTGATGACTTAGCGCTGGTCAGCGATACCGTTAAATATTTACAGAAACTAATGAGTAAATTGGAAACATTTTGTAATATGTAAAAACTTAGGATGAATGTTAGTAAATCCCCCCAAAATTTGTAAGGATGGATTCTGTATAAAAACATATATTTATCATATTCTGTCATTTGTACCCATCAAAACATGGAACCATATTTTTGATAGCAGCATTTTTCCTATTTTAATTTATGACAGTGAAATGTGGGCTATTACTAATAATTAAATCATGAAAGTACTCATATGTCGTGTTTAAAAATATTTATGAGAAGTTAGTAACAATGCTCCTAATATTGCTGTTATTTCAGAATTAGGGAGATTAACACTTAGAGTAAATTGTATAATGTCTGATTTTGGTATACTATCTATTTACATCATGATAGGTTTGTTTCTAAATGTTATGAATTGCATATGAGAAAAGAATTAGAAATGAGAACTGTTTGGCGCAACAATTCAAACAAACATTATTTTCAAATGGCTTTGGTTATATTTGACTTAATTTCTTAGGGATTTTAAGTAAAGAATAATTGCTATTAAGAAACAAAAAAAAAATGGGCCTAGGCCCGTTACCACCTGGCCTGTTTCCACCCGGCCTTTTTGCCACCTGGCCTCTTGCCAACCGTCCTATTGCCACCGGGCCGTTTGCCTAGGGTGACAAAAATAACGGGTGGCAAAAAAAATAAATAAAGAAAGATACTAACATAATTTTGGTATTAACAATATATGTGCGGTGGAAATGCAGTTAGTACTACATTAACAAGGATAACTAAAAACAATGTCACAAGGACCCTTTCGGAAACAAGAGAAATTATCCTGAAATTCTCTATTATGTTGTTAATAATTTATATCTAATTTTTGTAATTGTTTTATGTTTGACAATTTTTTTTAAAATCCAGTCTAATTCTTACGTGTACATTTTCGTTTCGAGATTTTTCGGATGTATCTATCTATTTAGGCATTTACAATGTCTGGTTGTTCGGAGTCTTTCCAATCGTCGTCGACGTTTGCAAGTATCTGTCTAATCATTTCATCTTTTGAAATTGGAGTCCAGTACGGTAGTTCTCTATTAATTCGGCATCTGATATTTTTGGTTTCATTTTGAAATGAATCCTCTGTTTTATTCGAAAATAGGAGAAATGTGATTATAAAGTGTTGCCCTTGTTATATAAGTCGAGATGCGGTATTTTGGACACGGTGGAGTTTGGAAAGCTGTGATTGCGGTACACCAAATTTAGAGAATGCCATTACAAAAGTCACGCTTGGAGATGTCTTTTCATAGAGGTACTTCAGAATTGATCCGACCTTGCATAAACCATGATGAGATGTACGGAATATGTTGCTAATTCGATGCTTAAGTTTTTTTTGTATGGTTAAGTTTCCTATTAAAACTCAAGTGGTTTTGAGTTAAAAAAAAAAAAAAAAAAAGAAATAAAGTGCACGACACCTGTCTCTTATACACATCTAGATGTGTATAAGAGACAGGTTTGAAGGTGCCTCACTTTTGTTACAATACTGCATTTATACGTCCTGCCTCGCATGAATTGCAGTTAGTAGTCACGAGGGTAGATGGCTTTCATGAATCACATGCCTCGCTGACTGGCAGATTGTCAATACCCAATTTTAATGCAAGTAAATTCGGGGAAGTCAGTTTCTGAAGAAAATAATTCTTTTGTAAGCTTTAGTTAGTAAATAAAATCCCATGCCTCTACCGGACAATCGTGCCAATAACAACTATAAAAAAACAAGTTCTTACACAGATAAAAGCAACCCATTCTAAAGATTTCGGGAAGTGGATATACTTTTGAGTGCGGAATTAAATAAAGCAATCGCTTCGGGTAAAGAAAATTATTACGGAATACAAACATTCAAGAGATGCAATAGTTTTAATAGCATGATTAAAGGGGTAAATTCCGTTTATGCTACATTAGATGGTCCAGGTTCGTTGGAAATATCATCTGCTTCAATCAGAGAAGCTTTTAATGAAATGGTATCGAAAGGATAAGCAGCTATTATTTGGGATACCGCACAGTAACCCAAAGGTTCGTTGACTTCACAAATACCTATGGGGACATCATATTTTATGAAGATCTCGGGCTTCTTAAGTAAACGACAGTCCCATCTACCTTTATAAACAGGCTTATCTTGATTCCAGACACTGTTTACAGGAAATTGCCCAAAACAATTTCAAGGGCTCCGTAAGGAACATTGCGCCACATCAAAAGTTGTGTCTGCAACCTAACCTCTATAGTGGAGCAAACGGTCATAATCTTCAACAACAAAAAAAAAAACAATTAGCAGGTAGTGAGTTCCAAAGAGAAATGCAACGTGGAAAAAGCATTGCATTTTGTTTTGTATCTGGCACTAAGGTTGTTAAACTTGGGAAGCTCGGATGGGAACCGGGTTTCATGTGCAAACTCCTTTGAAAGGTGGAATTAAGTCAGTCAGTCAGGATGAACATTTGCCAAAACATATTGATAAAACATACCGGTACTAAAGCTGGCGACGGTCCTTCGATGAAAAAGTGGATGAAGAGTACATCCCAGATTTTTACCAATCAAAGTTTCTGAACTTCTATCAAGTAAAGTCATGGCATGCCCTCAACCCAGATGTCAATCAAGCAATCAATCAACCTATCTATCTTTATTCCATATATTGGTTAAAAAAGACAACAACAACGTTCTAAACTTTCAACTGTGGGTCCCTTTTAAAAAATATTATTATAATATAACTCTATAATTAATATACAACTCTGTAGTAAGAACAAACAATTAAATAAAATATGATGAATAACTAAAAAGAATAAGAATAAAAATGAGAATAAAATAAGAATTAAGAACAAAAATAACAATAACAAGGATAACTAAAAACAATGTCACAAGGACCCTTTCGGAAACAAGAGAAATTATCCTGAAATTCTCTATTATGTTGTTAATAATTTATATCTAATTTTTGTAATTGTTTTATGTTTGACAATTTTTTTTAAAATCCAGTCTAATTCTTACGTGTACATTTTCGTTTCGAGATTTTTCGGATGTATCTATCTATTTAGGCATTTACAATGTCTGGTTGTTCGGAGTCTTTCCAATCGTCGTCGACGTTTGCAAGTATCTGTCTAATCATTTCATCTTTTGAAATTGGAGTCCAGTACGGTAGTTCTCTATTAATTCGGCATCTGATATTTTTGGTTTCATTTTGAAATGAATCCTCTGTTTTATTCGAAAATAGGAGAAATGTGATTATAAAGTGTTGCCCTTGTTATATAAGTCGAGATGCGGTATTTTGGACACGGTGGAGTTTGGAAAGCTGTGATTGCGGTACACCAAATTTAGAGAATGCCATGACAAAAGTCACGCTTGGAGATGTCTTTTCATAGAGGTACTTCAGAATTGATCCGACCTTGCATAAACCATGATGAGATGTACGGAATATGTTGCTAATTCGATGCTTAAGTTTTTTTTGTATGGTTAAGTTTCCTATTAAAACTCAAGTGGTTTTGAGTTAAAAAAAAAAAAAAAAAAAGAAATAAAGTGCACGACACTCTTTGACTGGTTAAGCATTAGCAAAAGTCTTGTAGGAATTTCGGTGATGCAAAAGGTAAACTTAGCAATGGCAGAACTTTAATCAATCACTAAAAAAAAAATAAAGAATATATAATTGACCATCGTGGGCATAAGACATGACTTGAAGCCCTTGTCTTTTAATGATGTATCCAAGTGAAGGGGTATAAATGATGAATAAGAGTGTCCGAGGACCGAACACTAAGGAACGCCAAATATCGATGGATATTTTTTTAGAATTTAAGCCCTGGACCACAACAAAGTATTTACGATAACATAGAGAGCATTGAAACCTCTTAAGTACTGTTCTCCCAATTCCAAAATCTGAAGATAAACACGCAAGAAACATTTAGTGATCGAGTGCATCAAAATCAGCGGAGAAATCCAGCAAAACCACTTCATGCCGACTAAAGGATGTAAATATATCGTTGTATAGCTTTGTATAAATACGATCTTCTCTAAAAATTTTGAGATAAATGAATCCTGGTGATTACTGGTGTATGAGAGACCTGAGTATTTGTCTAAGAAGAGATGTTGTTATGAATCAAGGCTACAAGAAATGAATGAAGAAAGACATAAGGTTTTTTTGTACTTCATCCTCATCAACTTCATTGAAAGACAGCAAAGTGAAAGCCATGTAAAAGTTTTTTAAAATGGCATTGATGTTGCTCATTGTGATGAAGATTGTTTAAGTTGTGCATGAATAGTTGTAATCTGTAATGAAAAATTCAGTGGACTATATTGTCAGGCTTGTATGAGGTACGGTCACTGATTTAATCGAAGAGCTTGTATTCTTTACATTTATAAATGTACTGTTGCTTGTGAATAATAATAATAATATATATAGGGCCTATTATATATATATATATATATATATATGTATATATATATATATACTATATACTATTATATACCTGTCTCTTATACACATCTAGATGTGTATAAGAGACAGTCAATATTGATGGGAGGCGGTCACAGTATTTATTTTTATAAGCTATGAAATACTCACACCTAGGGCTGAAACATAACATGAGCCACTTCACAACTTGTCAACAGTACAAGCATGACAGGCTGAGAATGGTCAGCGTGTGGTTCGAACCCTCAATAACGACGTTCAGAACCTGAATGGATATCGCAGAGCCAAGCCGCCTTCCCTAAGGCCTCATACATATGCAAATTAAACTCAACCGTTTTCTCTTTGACCACTGATTGTACTGGTATTGAATACGTCATGCTAACTTTGTGGTCGCTCCTTCTCCTTGTTAACAATTATGGCCTAGTTTCATTGACAAAATAAATTGTCTCTGCATGAAAAATGCTGTACAAAAAGAACTTCTGTCGACACAATAAAATTTTATTTTGACAGAATTTATCTGGAAAATTAAACTTTTATTTTCGACAAAATAAATTCTGTCTTACGAACAAGTTATTTTGTTAACGAAATATAATTTAATTGCGACAGAATCAATAAAATGTCTTGACAGAAGAGTATTCTTTAAACAGAATAGTCAATGTCCCAAAAGGCGCCATGTGAACGAAATTAAATTTTTGTAAAGAAAAGAAAGTACATAAAACTGTGGCGCGTGCTTCACTTTACTTTTGATATCAATAGTTTTTTGTGAAATAATATGCTATCAAAACATTTGTACTTTAGGTATGACATATTCAAAGTTTTAGTTTTGTTTCAATGTCATTGATTTTCAGCTAAAACTAATAACAAGAAAAAATATCATCAGGATGATGACATAAAAAATATTGTCGTCAATTAAATGCATTATTAAAGAATAAAAATTATTGTAGAATGTTGTCTAAAATCATACCTAAATGAAATACCGTATATAATTTATAGAAAAAAAATAAACAACTTTGATAAAATTCTTTCTTGAATTACATACTTAAATTTAGATTTAAAAATATTTTTAAAAAATAAATAAAGAATACTGGTAATAAATTGTTTGTATTGCCACGGCTTACCGTATCTTCTATAATTGTCTTTATATTGTATTTCTATAAAAAATAATATGACATTCATATTATCCATTATATATCTAAAATATTAAGAAAACAGGTAGTGTAGATGTAGCAGTGCAAGCCTTCATGGGCCATTTGCTCAGAATAGTACTTGGCTGGCCCTCGCCTGGTCCTCCTCGAGAGTCATTGGTTAGCTTAATAATACAATCTATTCTCCTTTACATTTATATTTCAATTATAACCGATACTAGATGTGTTGAAATTTATTTTTAATTAATATATAAAGCCGTGCTTGAGTCTCTACCGGAACGTTTGCAATGGGGGCAAAATGTTTACTCACCACTGAGCTAACCTGTAGTTAATTTCAGTAGGAGAAACAGATATAATAATGGATGCCGCTATGAATAAAGAATAAACATATTACAGAAAGTAAAAGCTGCAACTTGTGCGCTCTTATACCATGTACAATATTTATTTGCACTTTAATGTAAACAAACCTATTAACTGGCTATTTGTTTAACTCAGATGTTAAAACGGACATATTGACTAAATGAGTCAGGGTATCGGTAATGTTATCATTCATTTTCACGTAAAATTTGGTGTTGAGTAATAATTGTCGACTTACAGACGGCATATTGTGGAGACCACTATGCGCTTAACGTTATTATTTAAGATTAAATATGTAATTACTATTGTAATTATTATCTAAGATTAAATATTTTATTATATGTAATGGGGTTGTGGAACACATACTCAGCTCTCTGTGGAGAATTCTGTAATGTTGCAGCTGTAATCAGACTTAACCAGGTACCCACTTGTACTCCTGTGTGGAGAGAGACAGTCGTAGGTAAAGTGCCTTGCCTTAGGACACAAGCGAAATGCGCAGCGAAGGATTGAACCACCGACCCCAAGGTTGAGAAGCAGAACCACAACCACGGCGCCAAACAGCTCTTGAGTTTCAGGAATTCTGCTTTGTGTTCGCCGGACGTCACATCTTCATTTTATAATTTTGAATGATGTATAAACTTTGTTTTAGGTCCTAGGTAATGCTAAAGCCGCTAATTTTTAATACTTATAATGTGATGCATAGTTTGATGTTATAGTCCTGTAGCCAAATGAAATTTATTCACAAAACGTATTTGTCTGTAAAGATTTTTTTTTATGGGTTTTATTGTCATTGTCATCAATGTAAAAAAATATACTAGACGTCAGTCAGGGTTGGAGTATCTGAAATATTCAGTATAAACAAAATGGCCACCAAAATCCAAAAACTAATACTTTCACATGTATGCAAATACGGTAGAAAATGTAGCAAACGAATGTGTTTGTTTCACACCGAGAGCATTTATTCATTCATTCTTTATTTAGCCTTTCATAAAAAAATCACACTAAAATTTATACATGCAGCAAAATAAAGAAAAAAAAATAACCAAAATTGATTGTGTAAATCTAAGGAGGCAATGATCAACAAAAACAATTAAAATGGCTGGACCTCACAAGCTTGGTAATTTCACATAATATGAGGGAACGAAATTAAAGAAATCACAACTCGTTTACTGCCTGGTACATTATGCAACTAGGTTAAATATGCAAAATATAGGGTTCTCATATTTTGAACCTATTGGTCTCAATCGTTGATGTCGGCTTACCAAAATGAACCTGATTCGATGTGTGTTATAAATACAGCTACAGTCGTAGAATGTATGTATACTGATAGTATAGTTTCAGAGAACTATGATGAGTTTAAATAGAAAAAAACATACATTTAGAAATAGAGAAATCATATATAAATTATTATTTTTTTAAATAAAAAAAATAAATAAATAAAGCAAAAAAAAACAAAAAACAAAAAACAAAAAAAACCAAGAAAGATATTAAGATATTAACATTCACAGTATACACACATACGTTGAGATACTGAAAAAGAACACAGGTATTCAAAACATTAAACTCTCACTGCGTCTGATTGCATATAAAAACACAACGCCACGACACGCACGCAAGGGATCTTTTATAATGACGATCCGTCAATCAGCAGACGCTGTCACGTCGTTTATGCTCACAGGGAGCGAGGTTGGATTCGTCGGCCAACACATGACATGGAAGATTTTTTTTTTAATTAATTCCTCCATGGACTTTAAAGAAGGCAGGATATGATGGAAATGCTTCATTGGCCATCACCATAAAGCGAATGCCTGATGGAGAAATTTTACCATTTAATATAGAGCGAACGCTAAAGGGCAAACTGTACCGGTATTGAAAAACAATGTGATTAACTGTAACACACATCCTAAGATGATATATATATATATTACTAAATACAGTACTATACAGGAGTAGGCGAGTGTCTTGGAATCGCTTCGGCAACAATCTTGCTCGAAACGAGAAGATACTGCACACTGTTGACAAAATTACTTGAAATATGCTTACTGTTAAGAATTTGGTATCAGAGGTTTTACAAAATACTGGCAATATACGAATGTATGAAAAATCTTTAACAACCTCACTAGGGTCTAGGGACTCATAGATAATGTTGTAAATAAAATGCAAGCATGTCAGAATACAAACGGCGAACCATGATTTATAGAACCATTTTTTAGATGAAGTTACTACATTCGCATTGAACAATTTGCGAATTATGTAAAGTTTAGCACAGAAAACACTGATAATAAATGTTACATGAAGCCCTGCAACAATAGATTTCAGTTTACAACTTATGTCAGTGGGGTATCCAATGTAAAAAAACACGGTCTGAAAACCAAGAGCAAGTGCAGCTGCTATAGCGTAGCTATGTGTTTTACTAGAAGCCATTACCAATGGTGTGTCTCTTTTCCAGTAAAACATCAGTCCTGACGCCACCGATACTGTACTACCAAAGATGCAGAGTACACTTAAGGCTACTGCAGTCTTGCTATTGTAGTCAAAGATATCCGGAACCTTTGGCAAACATTGCGTATTCGCATCGTTTGAGTATGTTTCATTTGAGCAATCATAACATCTCTGCGAATCTACACGAAACAGAATTAGAATATTTTATATAACTGACATACAATAATACAAATTTGATTTAATTTACTTAATATATATGCGAGTTACATAATATAGCCTGTATCTGTATCATTATATCATTCGAAGATGCGCATGGAAAAGTTTAAATGATAAATGCATAACAAACAAGAGATAAATAAAATAATTTATATTATAGAAAATGTCACAAAGTGTACACGGAATGAAAAACTGTGTTGACTTGGTAAGGCTTGCACAGTGTGTACACAGAGTGAACACGTGGTAAAAGTTTGTTGACTTTGTGGACACAGCAGGACTTTAAGTATTTGGACACAGTGTGTTCATGGTGTGAACACAGTGTTTTGTGTCAACACAGTGTTCTGTGTCCACACAGTCGGCACACTGTTACAATGTGTTCACTCGATGTACAAAGAGTATTAACTCATTGTTGTTGTTGACTGGGGCAAAATTAGTGTGGTTTTCACTCTGTACACGTGTACCCAGTTTGCAAACCACACTAATTCCACCCTAGTTAATAATTTAAAAATGGGTTATGTGTACAGGCTCTGACAATTTTAAAAGGAATGACCTACTGTTTCCTGTAGACACGGAATTAAATGGACACGACACGCACATAAAACAACAGAGTTGTACACCACGGTATCTTCTTCTTTGTCCAGGTTTACAATCTGGACTGCAGCGCCCCACTGGTTTCTAAAAATGGAATAAAATCAAGTACGCCTAAAAATGTTGAAATCAAGTAATATTAGTGTACTGTATTGAATTATAATTATGGTTGAAATCCTGAATCTTGATAACTTTTCAGACTAACATTTAATTAGCGTGAAAAGTTTGTTCCTGAAATCGATAAAAATTAACCCACCATAGGTTGTTTACACTTGCAGCTAAGTTTGTGCCTCTTCGTGAACACTAAAATTGCATTTTATTGCGCTGTACACGCTCCCTTGTCAAACTGTATTTTAGACTAGGCCTATATGTTACAATTGTAGTCAAGGAGCGAGTATAGGTCTACACCATAATAATTCCAAACCTGATGCATGTGTATAGGCCTATTCCAAGAGTATTCTTATCTTGGGAAGTTAGGGATTCTAATCTTTACGTCTAGCCTATCCCAGCCAGGCATTATCTAGCTGATCACAAAGATTGTAAAGGCCAACTCAGACAGCGTTGTAAGACGCAGCCCGACGCGTTTCATCGTCGGAGAACATCTACGACGCATAGAGCTATTAAACAACTAGAGTGCTGACAAGATGGCGCAGCAATGCAGAGTTATGTATGTGTACCATCCAAGATGGCCGTCGTAGTAAAGCGCCACCTTCAGGCTTAGTATACATATTATTACATATTAATAAGCCCTCTGACTGACTATTATTTCATTAATGATAATGAGTAATGGTAACAACAAATTATTAAACTATTGTAGCCAAAACGAGGCCAAGTCAAGCATCTTATTCAAAAATAAAGTACCAAGGAATGAAAATTAAAATCGTATACATTACACCCAAACACCGCAACGCTCGAGTTTCAAACATACATGTAACTAGCTGTACTGAACTTTCTGAGTAAATTGAGGGCGCATTTGCAAACGATGGCGCTTAGCGAAATTTGATTGGCTAAATCTATGGTAGCCATCTTGGATGGTACACACACACAGTTCTGCGTATTTCGAACATCGAATACATTGCGGTTAGCGCTCTAGTAATCTTATTATACCTCTATGCTACGACGCGACTGCCCTCGATGTAAACCATCGCGTCTACTCACACAGATCTGATCCGACGCAACAGCAAATCGCATCGGAATGCGTTCTACGGCGCTGTATGATTTTACCTTAACGCCACTCGCGCGTCTTCTGTTTACCCACTAAATGTTTGTGTTTGTTCGTGAAAAAGTTGCCTCGGCTTGTGAAATATGGCTAATTCATTATCATTTATGATCATCATCCAGGAGAAATTATTATTATCTCCGCCATGTTTTCAGTCGTGTAAGTGTGTGTGTGTGTTCGTAATATTTTCATGTTTTGTGTGGTTTTTATTGTGTTCGAATTATCTCAAAAAACGGCTGCTCAGATATAAATGAAAATAATAGGGAGTGTTCCCAATGAAGAAATGGATTACATTTTGGTGACGGTCCGGAATAGGGTGTGGATGTGAGGACCAATTCAAAATATTAAGAGCAAACACTAGATATTTCAGAAACATATCAACTTATCTAAATGAAAGTTTCGTGAAAGTTTAACCAAGTTACAAGAAAAAAAAATTATTAAGTGTAGGTGACGATCCAAATTGAGGTGTGAATTTGAGGGTCATTTAAAATCCTAATGTCCCAGACCTAAATATCTCTAAAAATAATCAATGGCTATAAATGACACTATTTAGAATAGTTGTTCAAGTTTCGATGAAGAAATGTTTAAATGTTGGTGACCATCCGGAGTAGGGTGTGAATATGAGGACCATTCAAAGGAAAACGTCACAGACCAGATATTTCAAAAACTAATAAACTTATCTGAATGAAACTTTCGTGAAAGTTTAATCAAGCTACAAAAAAGAAATTATGAAGTGCTGGTGACGATCCAAATACGGGTGGTGCATGTGAGGGCCATTAGGAATACTTATAATACTTTGACAAGTTTTAATGAAGAAGTGTTTAAATTTTGGTCACAATCCGAAGTAGGTTGTGAATAAGACGCCCATTTATAGAATAGGTTTACAGTATATTGTAGGCAGATAACAATAGCTGTATCATGAATATTCAAATTAATGCAATTACATTAAAGGTGGTGGTTGGAAAGTAAGTGGATTGTCACATTATATTTTTACAATCATTAGTTGAAAATAAAATGGTTCAATACCATATTATATTGCTTGAATGTTGTGTTCAAAACGTAACATGTGTGATATAAAGTAGGCCGACATAAAATTTTGGTTAAATTCGGATTACAAAATCTGAAAATGGCCACTCTTAAAAAGATTCCCCCAAAACATATACCAAAAATAAAAATAGTGCCCCTTTTGGAAATAGAAGTGCTTGGGCGAGTTACTGTGGGTATTTGAAGAGGAGGGGAGTTTCCCACAGTCTAGAGGGGCACATTCTTAAATATTCTTAAATTTAAAGTTTCCTGTTTCAACCTAATATTATATTAATTACTGTCCATGGTTTTTTTTTTATATTTTGATTTTTTATAAATTCTGTATCAGTATTAAAATTTGATATTTCTTATAGGCAATTTCTAAACTATTAATTGGTTTCCTTTTATGAATTTTATACAATTTATGTTTCGTTAATATTGATTTTTCAATTCCTTTAGTCATCCATCCATGGTTATCAAATTTTTATGTGTTTTCATTCGAACTTTTTATTTATTGGAATGCATCTGTCTACAATTGCAGTATTGATAAGCGAATCCGCTTATGCAGAAGTATTTTCCAAGCACATCTCAAAACATTGGAAAATACTACGAAGGATTCAACTTTAACGATACACACATTCTCCACATTGACGGATCCAAGGGATCCAACTGCAACCCTTTCACCTAATTTTTTTTATTATACAGAAATGAAGAAAATGGAAAATTATATTCAAATTTAAGTCCATTTAGAAATGCCTTAATCATAAATATCCTTACCTCAGCCCCAACCATGATGGTGGGGCTGAGGTGGTATTAAAACACTATCTGTGACAGTTCTTCCCGGGACAAGCTCTATTTTGAATCACCGGATCAGTCATTCCTCTATATTATAAGATTGAACATTCAGCACACAATATCCAAAGTCTAGTGTACAATTTTTACCGCTACTTTGTGTTCGACTTAGCCGAGATTAATTGTAAAAATACAACAGCATAATTTTCTTTATTTGATAAATTAGGAGACAAATGCTATAACTATCATATCATATTATAGATTTTTAAAGAAAACAAGGCAATATTTCAGAAAACAGTAGAACCTATGATTTTTTAGCTTGTGGGCCTGCGTAATCAACACATAATGTGAGATAATTTTGGTATGACAATATATGCCTTGGGTCGCCACAGAATGTAGATTCTGAAAGTGGGTTGCCACCTAAAAAAAGGTTGAGAAGCAGAGCATTAGGGTATTTTACCATTGATCCTTCTTGAGTTCTGTCCTAAAATGTGGCTTATTTTGTGGTTTATCTTCACATTATCAATTTGTTTGGTCTACTTTTACTGCATTCGCGCTGCCGTGAAACTCACCCTATCTCTTAGCCATAGCGCTTCTAAAATATCGGCTGAGTTTACTACAAAAACGTAACTCAAAAACTAGAGGTTGGATAAGTTAGGTTGAAACGGTTTATGAAAGGTTATAAATATAGCTATTGCAAACAATTTACAAAATATTTGCTTTCAAATGCTTGGCCCCGTAATTTTTGGGTTGAATTATGAAAATATAGGCGATATTAGTGTGTGTTCAGTTGGATTTGAGCTGACTTATGAGGAGTCGTTTTTTACAACTTTGCCTACACTAATTCGATCGCTTAGGTTGAAGCGGCAAACAGAAAGAAAATTTTCTTGTGATCAGTTATGTATAAAAATTAATTTAATTCCGTAATGTTTTGGTTCTATTCAAGAACAAAAACTGCGCGGTCTCACAGCCGACCAAGGGAATTGGCGTGTTCAATTTTCTGAACTGAAGAAAATGATGGTACCTGCCCTATCAAAAACTTAAAAATCATTAAATGAATATGCTTGATAGTTGATAGTAGACACATCCTATTTAAGCAGTTTTATGCATATATTGGGAATGTATTTTTAATAGTGTTTCACTAATAATTGACCATTTAAAAAAAGTTTATTTTATAATATAAAAAACCCTTTTCGGATAATGAAATCGCCCAAACTCTGCGCTGTACAGTGTGCGCAGTATTAAAAATGTTTTGTTATGTGGTGAAAACAAGCCAAACAAATTGATATGATAAAAATATATTTGTGTTTTATTTTGCAATTGTTTTAATTAAGTAAGTTAAGCCTAACATTGAATTCATAATGGCTCGAAACAACGACTCAGAAATACTGGGATGGTGTTACCTACTATAGTAGTTTAAGTCATTACAATCACAATCTCAATTTTCAAGACCAGAAACCCTGATTCAGAAATGCCTGGATGGTGTCCGGCGGGGGAAAGTTTATTACCTGATATTGTTCCAGTATATTCTTACCTGGCTATTATTTCTGTTATTTAGTTATTTATGAGCGTACCCTTACAAATCAATTTCTATGTCAAGTTAATTTACTAATGACAATAAATTACACTGAATACTGAAGTGGTGTTAAATAATTAAGATTAATATTTCAGGATATATTAACGGGTTAAATGTAAGTTTGTGAATATGTTGTCTAAAACTGTAGCAGATTATCTCCTAATGCGTGTGGTTTATTAATTAAATACCGGTATCAATTTATAAAATACAGCAGTATGGTAATTAATTGCTCATTAAATATTAAATAATCATATCAATAATAATCTGTGCAACGCCATCATAAAAAAATCACCTCCCAAAACCCACGCGCAGTACGCCATTAGCTGGCTCTCCCAAGTTTTACCATACCATTGTCTTGTCTCCAAACAACCAGCTGCATTTTTGTCTATCGCATATTATTTTCCCACTCTCACTTAAATGCGCTATGCTCCTTTAGGCATCACCACACACCTCATTCTAGTTCCGTTGCCTCTGGATTTAAAATAGAATAATTTCTAATATACTACAGCAGAGCTCAGCAAATAGCACTTGGTGCCGCAATTAGGAAAATTTACGATAAAACCCACTCACCTACGGAATATCCTATTTTATATCCTATTTTATATTTTGGAAAATTATATTAAAGTTCTTTATAAATAATACAATTACAATTTAACACTAAAGGATGCGCTCATTTCATCTGTTTACTCTCTAGTATGCTAACGTCACGGTTTGTTCCGATGAAGCAATTATTCCACAAAGGAAGTCCACAAAGGAAGTGAGGTTGCATCAAGGAGGTAGGCCTATATAAATAAATAGATTATTAATAATGCTATACCTCATTGTTTGCTTGTTTCGTTAGATAAAATAAAAATCCATTAAAATCAACTTTCTTTCTTTTTCTTTCTTTCAATACACGCAGAATTTATCAGTACCACCCACTATGTGGGTCCAATCGGCCTGGCCTACCTGTTCATGTGCGTTAAATGGGCTATGGCCCGAGAAAATGTTTTTGTTCCAAAATTTAAACCGGGACCTGGATCGTGTTGTTAATTATATGAATGGCTATTACCAAGTTTTAGATCGTAGGAAATGTTTGTTGTTAACTGCATTTGGTACGAATGCATTATTCAACTTAAATTTTAGGGCTAACAATAATATGTTTAAAAACAGCCAGCGAATGCGGTGCAAAAAAAACGACGGTAAAAAAAAGTCAATATTTTTCAATTAATGTAAATTATTTATTGGTATTTAATTGCGTAATCTAATAAATGGATAAAAAAGTTAAAATAATTATAAAATGTAGCATTGGTGCCATACCTTTCCTCCGTTTCGATTCCACATTATAGCAGTGTCGTTGATACTAAATACAGGTGCGCCGCTGCTATTCGTATAGTAAGAACCTACAGGAACAACCTTAGTTTTTCTTCCATTTACATGAGTATATTTGTAAGAGGGCCTGATGTCACGATTGCTGGTAAATTGATAAAAAGTTCCATTATTGTCTGTAAAATTTGCTTTCTGAAGATAGATCATTAACTGCCACGGGTATAGCTCGCTAACATTTGGACAGCCATCGTCCAGTATAGCAGAATCCTCTGTGCAATCTTCAATATCTTGCAATGCTCTTGCAATCGCCTGTATAGCTAAATATGTTGAATAAGCACCGTAGTTGGTGTAGTATTCGAACAATTTATTTATGTCTCCAGCAGAATTCGTCACATTTAAATACGTGCAAAAGTCACAGTCTTTTTTCTGTAGCTTTTCCTTGCATAACCATTTCTGTAAATCTTTACTGCATAAAGTGGATTTATTTCGTTCAAATACATCACATAATGACTTATACCTGAGCAGACCAGGTAGACGAGGATATGCAATGTCAATTCCTATAATAGAAGCAACTACATTGTATTTATAAAATTGAGGTGCTAAATAGGACCAACCTTCCGAAGCGATCCACACACAAGCTGTAAACAAAATTAATTTAGTGCTTATAATTGACTAGTTGAGTGATTGAATAATTCACTGACAGACAGTTCTGTCCACACAACAAAGTTTCATGTGACAGACATATGTGATATGCGTGAAATATGACATCATCATGTCTATATAATGAGTACATCACACAAATCTGTCACAAATTAATTGTATAGTGTGAACAGATTTTAAGAATAATAAATGTAAAAGTTAAACACCCTTTATTGTTGGAGAGAACTTTGGTCATTTGGGGGTAAAGCAGGATATTTGTAAAACTATTTATTGATCAGTGATGTGTTGGGCTGGGCGGGGAATATCAGTAAGTGGGTAAAGACCGAACTGAGAGGGTGCTTGGTAGGGTGGGGAAAGTAATTGGTTCGTGTGTGCAGACACTTGACTCATTCTACCACGAATGCAAAGGTGTTTCATGCCATATTGGAGGACACACACCATCAGCTCCTTGCCGACATTATAGACACCATTATTGTTAGATGAGTTACAATGAATGCGGACACGGACCATGACAAGTACTCGGCTGGAATACGAGATCACAATCAGAAGTATTTAAGATTTTTAAGATATTGAGATAATTAATGTGTATTCGCTGGCAGTCATGAGCATTGTAATTTCCAGTGTTTGGACAATAAAGAAATCTGTATCTGTACCTGTGTCTGTAAATGAATGCAGGTTTTTTTTTTTTTTTTTTAAATCATCTATGAAACTTACGTTTGATTCCGAACTCGTCCGCCCGCTTAAAAAACTTGTGAAGGTTCATTCTATGTGTTGTGTAGAAATACACCACTTCCAAATTGCTTGTGTTGTTCAATATGGTTAGGAAACTTTCAACATGCTTATCGAAATAGGTTAGGTGTATGTACACCTGGAACGCAACGCATATTTCTCTATTTTCTACTTCTTTCACAATATCATGGAGTCCATTTCGACCATATTCATTGTCAATAGCAACTGCTCCAATCCATTTCCAATCGAAATGAAAAGACAATTCGGCCAATGCTCTAGACTGGTGCCGGTCACTTGATACACTACGAAAAGAAGTTCGGTAAATATGCTTCTCCCTGGAAAACGAGTCGCTCGTGGCGTACGAAGCAATCGTCGGAATGTTACGAAGCGAGGCGATCTGAGAGATTGGAATAAAGCTCTCTGATGTAGCACCTGTAACAATTGCCTTCAAGTTTGTTTCATTCATGAGGTTAAGTATTCCTTCGATACTTGATACTGCAGTATTACAATATTGAATTTCGTGATACTTAAGCATAGTTGTAAGAGAAGAGTTATTGTTAATTTCTTCTACCGCAAATTTTGCTACTGCGGAGGCAATAAAAAAAGCAATGTTAAAATCTATGCAGCTTTCCAATGGCTCGCCAAATTCCCACGTAGAATTGTACACATCTGAGTTTTCATAAGGCGAAAACAATCCTCCTAAAATCAAAATGTGGTTTGTATGGTTTTCACGTGTTTTCATAGATTGCTCTCCTTTTACGGATCCAAAGAACATAATAATACAAATCAGAAATTCCATTGTTGTAAAAGTCTGCATAATTTGTGATGTATACATTGCTAAATATTAGCCAGTAAATCTAAACTAGCGTTCGGAAAGGAAGGAACAACCAACACACACAAAATAAAATGTTTACAGCATCTCAGTATTTAAATAGCAAGTACTATTTGGGTGTGGTCATTTACGATTATGTTTGTTTATGAAACTCACTACAAGTTGAAAGTGGCATTCGTCAACGAAACACTATCCGAGTCATACATCGAATCGACAATGTCAATAACTGTCGCTATACCCAGTTAGTTATGTTTGTTGTAATATGTATTTTTTTCTTTATAATTTCCTCTCATTCACCATTTTGTTATAATTGGGCCTATTTATTTCTTTCAAACTTATTTCATAACAGACATCTATTATTCGATATGCAGTTGATATAGATATTACGTTGTCAAATCATTTTCAGAGATATAGGCGCCAGATGTTTAAAAAATAATTTTCAATTCAAAACAATAACTGCTGTCATCAAAATTTCAATTTGAATATTAGTTATGATGTCTAAGAAATCAATATGTGCTATAGAAATCTAGAACTTAACATGCGACCGCACATCTCACAATAAATACTCCAAAAAGTTACCAACTATTTCTCATTTTCGAAAGAGACGTTAGTATATTGATATTATCAATATTAGTACCATATACACATAACAATTATAAAGCTTTATTGTTAAAGGCCTTCCTTCATCACCTTAGGCACAATTTTTTGTAGCCCGCTACCTTAACCATTCGACATCTGTCCCTTTCATCGGATGGGTTGAAAGTACCCAGATCAAAATGAGCAGGAGTGATTGATCATAAGCCTGCTTATTCAATCTTTTTCGTTAGGCTTGAGTAAATTTGAACACAATTGATCGTCAGTAGAGTCCGTTTTATATGTAAATTAGACACGATCCATTGTTATACTTCTCACAGAAACGTCTTCACTTATTTTGTAACGTCACTATGGCAACAGTCAACTCCAGTGATGTTGATGTTATCTTTCATTTAACAGAAGATAACAACAAATAATTGCAAAACAACAATTTCAAAATATGCAAAAACAATACAAAAAATACGAATGTAAAATAGAATACCGACTATGCGAAAAGGTCTTCATGAAACCATAAAATGTCCAACAACAAACTCATAGAATACATTATATGTCGGATACCTGTCGGAGACCAGAAACATATTTAATTGGAAACTATCTTTTGAGATGTTCACGAAAGGGGTCTAACGCATACTACATTAAGTGTCTTCATGAAAAAATGTTTTGGATATCCGAGCACGCCTTCGAAAACATCATAATACAAGGTAGCACAGTTTTTCTTTTCGGTAGAGGAGAAAATGGCAGAACACATAGTATTAATTGATGAAATAAAATGCCAGGCACCTAACTCTTTACTATCATTATCTACAATCTGCCCTAGATCAAACGACAAATCAAACCAGGAAAGAGTTGACGCCCCTAATAAATATAAATGAAAGCTTAAGAATATAGCGTGAGATCATGGATGCATCTTAGTCGATAACATCAAAATGCGTGACGATTCTAAAGACAACATTGCAGCCAGACTGGTTACACTTTAACTCAACGTGGAACGAAACGGCAAATCATGAATATTGACATATGGATATTATCACCAAGATACCTTCTATCAAGCAGAAAACAATATGTGAATAGACGGTCAGAACTCAGAAACTAATTCTGATTCATAGTACAGATACCATGGTTGCCTGCAAGAAAACCGATGGTAATGTGTATGCAGACGACACAAACGTTTTCCTTGAACCTAAAGATATTTAGAGAGCGTTTGAAATTTTAAACGAAGAAGTCTATCTTCATGGTTCAAAGCAAATAAACCATACATGTCAACAAGATAAATTATGTAATATTTAAAAACAGAAATGTTTTATTTGATACATCAAACCGTAACTTATTAATGATTATTAACCCTATAGAATGGGTTAAACTAACGAGGTTTCTTGGAGTGCATTTTTACTAAGACACCTTTTCATGTTCACGTCATGTTAACACAGTAGCAAAGACGATTTCAAAAATACAACGAACAAAATAAAACATGCACTCCCATATGACATTTTACTAGACATATATAAATCCCTTGTACTGTCTAATTTTACCTATGCCATAATAGTTTTGGGTTCATCGAACCCATCCATTTTAAATCGACTTCATATTTTACAGATAAAAACTATAAAGATACTTTGTAAAGAAACTTTCTCGGAGTGCATTTTTATTAAGACAGTCTTTCATCTTTTTAAATCCATTTTAAATCGACTTCATATTTTACAGAAAAAAAGCTTTGAGGATAGTTTGTAAAGTGCATTACCAACACCCCTCTTTGCATATTATTATATAAAACAGTGTGACTGACTTGATATAATAAAGAAATTATAGGCAAGCTATTTCACACCCTATAAAAAATAGAAGCCTTAGGAATCCATATTCCTTTAAAAGAAAATAATGGCTCCTTTGGCCTCTATTTTTTATAGGGTCCTCAGAACTTTGCATATTCATACTGTGTTTATTTTTTCAATAAATTCACGTCAACGTTATTGTGTGCCAATACAAACTGCAAAAACTGTTTTACTTTAATTATGATTTTATTTTAATAATATTACAAAATAATTATATAATCTTTAACATTCATGTTATCTATATTCCACAAATAAAACATGCTTTCATTTCACATTAATGTTTTAGCGAAAAAGTGTATCCCACCACAAGCATGCTCAATATAATAAAACTCTTTAAAAAAAACTAAGCATAATAAAACAAACCAAAATCATGATGAATGAGTTTGTTTTTATGTTTAAAATATGTCGACATTAGGCCTATTTATGGCATTACATTTTTGTCACTGCATATATTACTATTTAGGAGCAAGCATGTAATGACTTTTTTATCATTTAAGTATATTTAGTCAATGATTTTTTAAGGCTGACTTTGTAAGAAATTCCACACTTTTTTAATAACGCTATATTATAACATTTCTTGTATGATATGTATGTGCAGATTCAGAAGTGTGAAAATGTTATCAAAATCTGTTAGTAATTGTCTTCTGTAATATTGAAACTTAAAAAGTGAATGTGTATAGTAAATCAAATATTTTAGTAAGTGTGAAAGCTGAAATGGAGTCTTAGAAAGTTTTTTGTGAGCTCTTTTCTGTAGTAAATGACGATTTGTGTTGCACAAAATGGTAGTTCCCTATGAAAGTATGCCGTATGAAAGAAATAAGTTTTTTTTCGTTAAATTTGAAATGAAAATTTCCAAAAAACCTGGCAACTACCACTGGAGAACATAGAGACTTAAGCATTTCGCTCTACGTGGTTACCAGTGTTTATCTGTGGGACTGGTGCACGACCTTGTTGTTGTAGACGCCTAGTCTTTTAAAACGAAATTCCTAAACAAACAAAAAAAAAAGAAAATAATGGGCGCATAAAACCTGGGCACAGTGTTTTCGGTTGTCGAAGTGCTCAAAAAAAGACATGTGTCTAGAAAAACGAAATTTTCTCAGGCTATGCTGGTGGATAGCCCTCATCGAAAAGTTGCGAACGTTGTTGGAGCTGTTTCAAAATAGACCCAACAAAATGGTATATGTATAGCCACCGATTACTGTTACAACAGTTTGATTATAAATATATTTATAATCAAACCTAACATTAAAAGACAGTGACTGACTACCGTAATCTAACATACCATTTTCGCCAGATTTGGAATAAAAACGTTCGAGAACATGGCAACTTCCACTGGGGACATCCTTTCGCTAACTGCTTATATTATGTATACATGTTTCCATTTACCAGCTTTCTTCAATTTGTTCGTCTCTTCATTTTACGAAAACATGTATGACAATTTAAATACAAATAGTTGTTACATAAATATTATTATTATATTTAAAATATAATTATCCAACACTTAGTGGCTTCCCGGGGCCGTAGTGACGAGAATTGAAGTGGTCAGGTTGCGAGCGAAGCTCGAGCACTGGCCCAAGGGCCCAGGTCGGGGTTCAGGGTTTTGGGGGCATTAAACCATTAAACTGTAATATTATTGTAAACCATTAAACTGTAATATTATTGTAAACCATTAAACTGTAATATTATTGTAAACCATTAAACTGTAATATTATTGTAAACCATTAAACTGTAATATTATTAACATTAAGCCATTAAACTGTAATATTATTAACTAAGACCAATCAACACATAACATAAAACACATATCAAAATTATTATGTTTAATCTTTCCTCGTCGGTGCTTGCATAAAACGTGATTTGGACCTAATATAATAATATTGATAAACTCTGTACAATATTATGCTAAACATTTATAGAGTAGACTTCCTTATGTTGTGGTCATATTAGACTGTAATATTATTGATGAAGTCTATTCAACAAACAACATAAAACATATACATATCAATGTTATTAGGTTAAAGTTCTCTAAGTCGGTGGATGCATACAACGTAATTTCCTAAAATTTGGATATCTGAGATTGACAGACAAAATTCTCTATACTATATGTACTAATTTAACGAGTGGACTTCCTTGATTTAAGGAAATATATATGTATATTGAGATACGCAAAGTTTAGAAGGTTGGAAGTTTAAAGGAGAGGACTTCCTTATGTTGTGGCCACATTAGACTGTAATATCATTAAAAACCATTCAACACAAAACATAAAACATATCAAAATTATTAAGTTAAAATTTCTACTTCGGTGCATGAATATAGTGTAATTTTGAGATATATGAGATTTTAACACTTGAGAATGTATAAAATCTTAAATATTTTACATTTTAATCAGCAATCTATCAGAAATACGTTGGTTGGATACTATAAAGCCTTCTGAACCCCTGCAATACTAAAACTGGGATTCAAAAGGCAGTGAATATTCCATTTTGATTTAGTGTAGATGTTTTTTACATATTTTTATTTTAT